ACGATCGAGTTTGTTGAAAAATATATACTTATCTCATGATTTTGAGCCTTTTTAGAACTTAGAGCATTAGAAAAATATCATTTCCGGTCCGGGATCATTTGCGGTCCAATTTGGGGATCATTTGCGGTCCCATACAGGACTGATTTGTCGTTGAAAGTTATAAAGTGTAGAACGACGGAGAGGTTAGTTCACCAACGGTTATTAAATTCTTCGAATCAGAAACCCCTTTCCTAGACGTACAAGTCTATTTATTACAACAAATTCTCGGTGATCGAAACCTCACAGATCTAGACAACCTATGACGCATGATGAGTCGTAATATGTCGTAATAATAATTTATATGAGTCGTAATATGTCGTCATCTGTAGCAAAATTACTTTTCCATATATTACGACATATTACGACATATTACGACTCATATTACGACTCATCATGTGTCGAATCCCGATAAATTAGGGCGGTCATGACGTCACGAAGCTATTGTTACCAGGGAAAATGGCGGACCTTGTACGCGGACAAAGAAAATATGTTGTTTCCAGTCTTGCATAGAGTCTGGCCAGCATTATCCGAGCACTTTTTGCGACCAAACGTTGAGAAGGAGAATAAGCGGCCATTTTGATAGTGGGAGAACGTTGACTGTCTTCTAATCATTGAGTTTTTTTGGTATCAAGCGACGATGTAGACGCGATTTTNAACGTTGACTGTCTTCTAATCATTGAGTTTTTTTGGTATCAAGCGACGATGTTGACGCGATTTTGTGGCCTATAAACCACGACCACAGAACAATATCAAACTCCATTTGTCAGTAACTTGTCATCTCTGCTCCGCTGTATTGTGCCGTTTCCTCAAAAATTCTCCATTCGATGCAAACAAACATTTTAGGTTCCAAACATAGTGGGTTATAAACGAAGTTGTATCTTACGTGATCTTTTGATCAGAACAAAGTTGCGTGACCGCATGCCGGCAAAATGGCGCGACATTCACGCATAATGTTAGGGATTTAAGAAAACCACGACAAGGTTTAATGAGCAGAACAATGGCTGTGCCCGTACGTTATAATCTTTGTACATTTCTTTGCCGTCCCCTGCAAAACAACAACGTGAAACGACTAAGTTCTGCGTTGTCTGGAGAACTTGAACCATGACGGCTAACTGTTTTTAAATTTTTATTTCGAATTTTAGTTTCCCCGATGTGTCCCAATTTCATGTAGCTTTGACAGTGATAAACAAAGTAAATGACTTTAGGCTAGCGTGAAATTGGTATGATAATCATAAAATTATTTTTTAATCGATGTTG